CCAGAGTGGACGCGATCACAAGTCGGCGCCAGCGAGATTCGAAAGCCAACTGTTTAATCAAAACCCAAGCAGTTTGCCAATTTGCTAGCGAGTTTGCAAATTGACTGCCCCAATACTTCTGAGACTTGCTGTAATGACACCAAATGTACCAGACGTGACTAAAATATTATCACAAAGGCCAAAAACCGACACAAACTCAAAGCTATTATCGACCTCAAGGGTAATGTTACAGTGTCGTGGGAAAGAGTATCTACAGCAAAGTAGGTATAATGACTTTTTGTTCAAAATTTGTACAAATAAATCGATATCGATATCCTCAAATTGTGATTTATTACAACTCAGGTGACCTGGGTTGCAGAATACGCTTTGTGTTTGTTAAAGTCTCTATATACAGCGAAAAAAGCAAATCTTCGTTGTCACACACCACATACGGAATAAGGCGTTTCGTTTAACCAACTTTAATTTTAGTAGTGAGATATATGGGCGGAACATGTGCACCAGAATGATGTCATAAGCAATTATCATTAAACAAAAATGAACAGAAGTATTTGTTATTGTGAGTTCTTAGTAAAATGAACATACAACACTGCGATAAAAAATAAAATCATATTTATTAAAGTTATTGTTCGTATATGAGTTTTTGTACACTTGGCACTACATAGTTTGTAATTTCATTCAGCTTCTTTCAGTCATAATTCAAGACAAATAAAAGACAGAAATATAGAGAATATAGCAAATTATCTTTCTGTAATATTATTGTGTAATCGGTAATCAGTTTTTTAGGGTCTTGTCTCTCCCAAAACGAAAGAATTTCACAATGTCGAAAACGGAAAATCCTTATCGTAATGTTATACCAGTAATCAACCTAAACATCAGTAAATATACTGTCCGTTTCCGTGCCGCACTTTGGACTGAATGCTGCTGGGGTTTTGCAGAACTGTTTATCTGCTGGTGTAAATTTAGGATTGATCTTAGACTACTAGTTCTAGATAAATATTGTAATGCATTGTACACACCTCACCCACCCACCCACTACTGCTCCGATTTGAGACAGTTACGGAAAACCGTAAACAAATATGATACTAAATGCATAATGGCAAGATAATGAGAAACCATGATTTATCATCTACACTAAAGTAAAACTAATTTATTCGTGAGGGGGTATACTCGTCATACATATTCATCACGACTGTTGTCAAGTCAACAAATTCTATACATATCATCTTTAAAAAAATATATTAAAGGGCGGTGGTCGTCGCGCCACGCATGTGCCAGATGGGTCTCGTATAAACAAAGATGGCGATTTTGACTGTTGCGCACACCAATAAGTACAAACTGAGAGGTTACCAAACTTAAATTTGGTATTTTTTTATTGTTCTTACATTTGCCAAGGTCTTTTATCTGGGAGTATTATGTTGCTAGCCTTGATTTTTCTTTTAATTCTGAAGTTAAACACTTTTGCTGATCAGAGGCATAAGTTTTATTTTCCGGAATCTGTATTGGAGTCCGGAATATATCAATAATTGAATATGCAATTGCAACATTGAAAAACACACAATTATTCCTGCATTTCCTACAGGGTTCCGTGTGAGTAAATAATGACACGTTGGTAACCACCACGTTGATGGCCTTCTACCCAGCCTCCGTCTTGTCTGCGCACTGAGTTTGCGGTTCAGTATAGAGCGCCGCTAGCGTTGAAACAAAATCAAAACAAAGTTCGTTTGCGTACCATGAGATGAGAGCGCTGTTTACTGAGAATTATAATCAGCGAAATGGCAAAACAGAGAAATCCAGAAACGGAAGATACAGGAAAAAATCAAATGTACGTCGTATATAATGTTAAATACAATTTACACTAGATTCACTCAGTCCTCGAACAAATAACTTTATGTAGAGTGTTGTGTATCCGTTGTTGAATCTGAACATGTTAATGGTTATATTTCATAAACATGAGAGGAAAGTCACCGCACAGTCGTCGGGAGACTAGATATTTCTACAAACAGTGATACAAAGTTTCGTGCAGGTGGTGCCAAGCAGTTATTTTTTTTAATTGTATATTGGGCATGTTAATAATTGCTATTTTATATTCGTATGAACCAGCATTTATTAATTGATTATAAATAGAAAAAAACGACATTAGAATTATTAGTATATTCAGTAAAATATTTTTTCAAAGTAAGACAAACATTAAATAATAACTTCAAAGATATAACAAATGCCGGGGCTACAATACAAGTGGAGAATCTGGCAGTTGTATTCACCGTATTCTTTATCCTCGTTCTGCTTTCACCCGTTACGATGATTCGCGCCCAGAACGAGGCTTCCATACGACATATTATCTTAGATTTCCATATACAGAGACCATCTAACGGACTAGAATCGCTCAACCTTTCTCTTGCCACTCAGTTCAGTTATGAATATTTAGAAACTACGGGTTTAGTATTGGGAATGGATATTAAAAACACTTCTAGACATTAGTTTATGTTGAATCGATTCACCAGTGTATTAAAAAAAACAGTAGAAAGCAAAACCAGCGACCTGGCTGGTGAAACTCGTGACAAGTAGAAAGTCGATGCCAAGTTCACTGGCAGGCATGTCCTCTTTTCTTTGTTGATTATTTTGTATCAACATGTCAAGTTTCAATAACAAATCGAGAGTAATGCCGTGATCGGTGTTTAAACAAAACGTGAATATTACAATATCCCGAACTTGTCACTGACATATTTGTTACACTTATAGAAATTATGTCAAACCTGAAAACAAAACCGAAAGCCAATGAAACATATTTGTTGACATTGTTAGGTTTTTGCGCCTGGGAAAATAATAATATTATTGAATATTTGATTTTTAAATAAGCTTATCAGGGTCGACGATAGTTATCGCGCCATCACCGACGAATTCAATCGGACGCAAACTCGTGGTTAAATCTGTTTCCAGGAAATAGTTCTGCATGTCTATTTCCCTCACCGCGAAATCGACCCAAAAATAAAAATAATTGGTACGATAGTGAATGTACCAATAAAAAAGGCAAATATAATCAGAGAATTTGATAACAATAAATTGGAAAGCCATTGAAATTGTAGAAAGATTTCCGTGCATAATACAAATCAGTGTTAAAAACAAACAAAGAAACAAAGACAAAGCAAGTACTATAGGTTGCAGCTACAAATTAACAATTGTCTAAGATTATGATTACAAAATTCTCAGGCTGGTTGATGTTGACTCTTCATCCATTGTGGCTCCTACCTACCATTCGCAAAGGACGCCGGGAACCAGCGAAGCTAAGGCAGTCTTTGGCTGGTTTCCGCCTCAAGTGTCATGGCGTACCTACCATTCGCAAAGGACGCCGGGAACCAGCGAAAGGCAGTCTTTACATCCGTTTTTGTCTTCAGTATGTTTGTTGGCGTTACCGTTTACAGAGCAGTGTAGCCAATGTACCATGTAATGGGATCTATCATAGTTTGGCTACAAGCAACATGGACATAAAAGATGAAGTAACGCCAATTATGAAAAGTAACTCAGATCACGAGAGCGAGGAACTCGACGGCGTTCCGAAAGGTACACGTTTCGTTTCCAAATCATGATTGTCATTCATTTAATGTTTTCATGTATTCGTTTCAGTTTGAACGGTTTATAGTTTCAATGACCTTTTCGTGTGTGTATGCACAGCGTATATGTCAGGCTGTTACATTACGGTTACTAAAAAATATCAAACTATGTAAAATGTAAGTCATCTGTCTGTCACTTCGGCGTTGGATTTCTTTTGCTGAACAAAACTACTTAATAGCCTGGCCGACCCTGAGAAACGCCCCTCCGTTCACCCGGTGTCCGCCGAACTCAGCCGGATTTGAACTTGGCCAGGCCTGAAGGGTGGAAGTCAGTCAATACAGACCGTCATATCACGGGAAATAAAAAAAATAAATAAAACACTGATTTTGATATGCCAATCGGGCAATTTTAACAATTTCTCACTGGAGCGTCCCTTGTATAAATAGTCCTCTACTCTCCAAAAATTGACGATGGTACTAGCCCAGAATGGACTTTCTATTCAGCACATCTTTGATTGTAGCAATGTTTACGCCACTGTATGACAATACGCACACTCGCGAATTTGACAACATTCACTTGAGCGTTTTAGGATGGTGTGAATAGATGGAAATAGATGGAAATACATCACTCATGAAGATGATTCGATTGCTGGCCGGGATAGATGTATTTAGTGTTCATTTCTATGCAATATGTCTACACTTGCTATTCTCAATTCCAATGTGTAGAATCATATCGCTGCTGTGGACGGCGATGGCTGACAGATTGTTTTGGTTCTGTGGCTCTTGGCATGGGCAACTGATTTTTAGGTTTCTTTTTTTTTGTATTCTGACGTTTACTTGGTCGTATTTTGCGTATACCAGTCAGACACTGACAACAACTTGAAGTTAGTAAACAGGCCCTCTAAAGGCCCCCGAAGAAGCATCATCAGACAACATTAATGAACGAAATTTACATTACAATCTCATGCTTCCGAACAATCCAAAATTTATGCTTGAGAACAAAGTATACAAGTACTGTATACGATATACTGCAAAGTGGAAATAACGTACCTATTTAACTGTTGTTTATTTTCGTACAATATTCCAAGAACACAAAACAGACAACTGACAACAATCGACAAAACAAAAACAAACAAAAAACTGCCGAGTACACTACACAGTCACTGTAGTCACACCAGTAAGAAAAAGATACTGTGGAACTCATGGCAAATCATGTCAGTGAATACAAAAATTTATCAAAAAAATCCTCTATATGGACAAGTTCACAACCTCTAATACTGCAAAGCCGTCAGTTGTGAACTGAACTGAACTTTAAATCTAATTAGGATTTCCACATGAAGTTACACAGATCGAAAAAAATGCAATATTAAAACAAGGAAAATTAATGCCTTTTGTCCAGGCTATATACTAAATTCTCTTATTTTGGGGGTATTTTTGTGACTACATGTATGCAATAAAATTATCAAAACTTCAAATGTAATCATAGTACAAATGTAAAGTAAACAAGATTATCGAGTGATTTTGGATTTGTTGGGAAAGTAGCCGAAATGCTGTGACATTGTCTATTTGGTGGTGGGAATTGCCAAGCCAGTTTATAAAATAGTGAACAAAAATGTTCACTAACCATGAAAGATGCCCATCACGAAATGTCTTGTGGTAAAAATAAAATAATGTATGATGCAAGGGCAACCAGCATTATTTGTGTTGTTGTTTTCATAGCAGAGCCAGAGGGTCGCCTATGTGTTTTCATGTAATGTCTGTGCGTCACTGAAATCGACAACAGTCACTACATGTCAGAGATAGGTGTTCCTGGGCTGTTGTGTGGCATATAGTTTCTTTTCTTTTCCTTTTGTAAACATGAGTGACTGACCACTTCACACTTCCGCGATCACATATGGTGAGTTCGACTATTTTGGCAACAGTGTGAAAAAACCATTCTAATATGAGAGTACAGTATATCTATATTATAGTAAAAATGAAAAGATAGTTCTTTATACAACACAACATATCAGTGATCAGTGTTATTTTTACATCAGCGTTATTAGTATGTTTATAATTACTATTTTTATTACATCGTATTGAAATTACGAATTCATTTTTGGCTGAAAATATTAATAGAAATGTACCAGTACATGTAGCAAGTGAATAAAATAAGACCAGGCAGTAAAAAAATGATACAGTTTGTGTTTTTTTTAAAACTACGCTTTTAGATACCGTATTACGTGTATACAAATGATTCATGGTGTGTGCTATTATCCATTGGAAAACATTAAGGTAGAAGCCTACTCATAAATTAAAAAAACACTGCAATAAACTGCACTCCAAGGCAATATAGAGATATTGACTTAAAAAAAGTTGGGGGTCACCAGTCTTATTTTAGAGAAATTGATGGTTGTATTTTAGTGGAAAGTCGCCATTTTGGCACTACATGTATCGTAATGCTTTTACCATAGGTTCCTACAGCAGAGATGTTATGCAATATTTCAAAATCTAGCCTGGTGACTTAGGCTGAAAAAATCATATATTGTTATGAGTAGGCTTCTACCTTAAAACCAATGTCCAGCATTATAATACCATGAACAACTAACCTAATCATTTCACTGCCAAGTCAGCGAGCTACATATGTGGAGCTCCATGCGGCACACAACCCCCCCCAAATAACGCACAGAACCAATCGATACCATTCTGTACACATGCAGTAGGATTTTTTTTTTCTTTACAGATATTCTACATTAAAAAATATTTGCATTATAGCATTCATAATTGAAAAAAATAGCAAAATATAAAATTGAAGCAGAGCATCATGGGTATTCTCTGGTTAACTTCGCCATACATGTGTACAATTTTGTGCTCTTTAGTGGAAAGTCGGTTGATGAGCATTTTGGGGGAGATACTTGCAGTTTAACATGGTTTATTTCATTTTATAGTTTAAAAACTACGTTATAAAATTTAACTCTAATTTACATCTTTCTTTTTTTTCGCAACCACAGTTCCTGGCTGTCTGTCATGTCGTCAAGTTTTAGCATTACTGGGATTCCTGGGATTTTTAAATGTTTACTGTTTAAGGGTCAATTTGAGTGTAGCTTTGGTTGCCATGGTGAACAATACTGCAACTCATCCACATATATCAAATGAGTGTCCAGTATCTAACACTACAAAACATGACAAGGTAAGATATGGGCGTAATCTTTTCACTACCAGTTCCCTCTTTTCATCACAAATTCACAAAATGGTCCTGTTTATAGTCTGCACTTTCCTTCAAAAAAATTGGGACAAAAATAGCCCAATTTTTTGAGTAAAAACTGAAAATAGACTCAAATTTTGTCTGTTGACCCCAAACTTAGGGTTCGTTTTCAGAAATATTAAAGAATACATGTATAGGAAAAAAACGTGCAGAAATAATTGGGCAAGAAAGTCTGATGATGAAAAGGTCAAGACGTGTACAGTACAATTTTTGCTCAATCTGTCGCACACATTTATCGCATTCACATTGCACACTCATCACATTTAGGTTGTGCAGTTGTCACACTTATATCCCATAATATTTTCAGGATTTTACCACACAAGATCAACACTGCTGTGGCTAAAATGCAAAAAATGTACAACTAGAATGTGGAAATGTGTATGTGATAAATGGGTGCATGACCCTAATGTGTTGCACAATCACTAAATATAAAATATTCCTAGAAAGGCAATAATGTACATGTACTATACTTCATTTTCGGAAAATCTGCTGCAAACTTTAGAAGGGCTTTAGCATCGACATGGTGAAGCGGTTCATATTACTGATTGCTTGTTGTCGCCTGCTGTTCATTTTGCTGTTCCTCTTTGTATTTATACTTAGTGTACCAGGTATTTGGTAAAGATACCTTAAAATTTCTAATTTTAGTAAATATTTTTGGTAAAAAATGCTATTTTTGACTTTTTCTTAAAAATGACAAGCCAAATTGCTTGGATATTTTATGTGTGGACAGCTTGAGTATAATTTGTTTATTTTGCTATAATACCATCAATTCTCTAATTTTAGTGATTTTGTTTTTCATTTTTGTTTAAAAATACTACCGGTACCTGTATTTCTGACTTCTTTAATACTTTAATGCTTTAATACTTTGTATGTAGGTATCATTGCATGACCCTTTATAACCTCATAAACCACTGAATTATTAATTTAATAATTGATTGGATTCACAGGTAGGAGAGTTCCAGTGGGACCAGAGAATGCAGGGGATAATTCTTGGTTCATTTTTCTACGGCTATATCTTAACACAAGTGCCAGGTGGATATCTTGGATTACGTTACTCTGGCAAAAAAATGTTTGGTTTCGGCGTTTTGTGTACGTCTGTGTTAACGTTGGTCACGCCAATTGCAGCAAAAACAAGTGTATGGCTATTGATAGCGGTAAGAGTCCTTGAAGGCATTGGTGAGGTAGGTAGACTATTATAAAGCATATAGCAGTAAGTAGTAGTGACAGGGGATTTTGTGTTATAAATGTGATATAAATATACTCGTGCAGCTACTTACAATGCTTCACTATGGTAACTAATTTGCATATTAATATTGTCACAACCATGAGTTATTGTAACAATATTAACCTATTAACCCTCTGTGCCTAAGTAATATTGCCATCCAAGGTTATGCTAGTAAGGGCTGGATAGTTTGAGATCTGTTGGGAACTGGGGGGGGGGCATGGAGTGTGAATCTATTTTCACTCATTAGGATGCAATATTAAAAAAACTTTTCTCCAAGAATCCATAATTTGACTTCTTGATAATTTTGTTGAGACCACAAGGACCATGATTGAATGAAATGTACATGTACATGTAGTCTATTTTCTGTCCAAGGGTGTGACTTTTCCTGCCATGCACGCACTCTGGGGTAAATGGGCGCCGCCGCTTGAAAGAAGTCGATTGGCTGCATTCACTTATGCAGGTATTTACATTTATTCATCATTGTGTGCCAAAAAAACCCATTATCTCATAACCTGCTAGATAAACTGGATACACAGATACTGTAAATTTTAGACTTTTTGTACAATTTAAATTATTTAGGCATAATTATTAAGTTTTAGCATTTCCTTTTGGCAACAATTGCTTAAATGGATTGAAATAATAAATGCATGTTGTTTAATGTTTAGCTGAATACCTGATGATAGTATCGGCCGAGGTGAATTAATTTGCATATTACCTAAAACTGTTTTATTTCCTCAATTAAATATAAATTTTAAACAAATTAATTATTCACTGGTTTTAATTTCGTTAATTTCAGTGATAAGTAAATTTTGGTGAATTAAATCCATGTAAACATGTGAAATAAAAGTGGAACTTGTTGTTTTCCTGCCAACTTAAAACCCAGTGAAATTGCTCATAACATCAAATTAGTGAAATTTAATGCTTTTGAAAATAAATGGTTTTTCAGTAGCATATTTATTTCAGTGGAAAACATGTTACTGGACATATTGGCAATGCATTATGGGAGAGAACCTCTATGATACAAAACTATTATTACACTGGTAATTCACTAGATTACGAACGACAACTGACAATCACTATTATGATAAGCTTTGCTCTACTAAGTATTTAAAGTGGCACGGCACCGTGATTTATAGGAATTTTAAACAATAAATTACACTACTAACAAATACATTAATTTTATCATGTGATATACCATATGAAAGCTTATTTTGCCAGCTTTTCAACAGTATGATGCATTTTTTGTGCCTGCTAACTGTATCGAAAATGGGTTGAAAATGTCCATTTTTGGTTAAATTTGTGTTTAAAACTATTTAACTTCCGAACGCATAGGTTTATTGAATGGAAGTTTGACTTGTTTTAAAACATATGTTCACTAGGATTATAGAACAAAAGTTTGTAGTATTTCCATTGAATAGTTTTTGACTCTCGTGTTTGAAGCACACAATGGGAGTCTTTGCAGTTAGTGTGTCTGCATGATAATTAGCTGATTTTTAGCTGTTCCATGACTGTTCCACTGATATCTAAAGAACCACTCATTGGATTTTGATGAAATTTGGTACATAGATGCTCAGAACTTACATGCAGATTTGAATAGTTTTTGGTAAAATTTGTGCATACTAATTACCAAATTTTTATAGTGATTAGTCAATTTTCGGTTTTACCACTGATATCTCAAGTACTAATCATCACCTTTCAATGAAATTTGGTACATAGATGTCATAGGACACTGCACAGACCTGATAGTTTTTAGGGTAATATCAGTATATATTAATTACCTAATTTTCAGCTTTTGATATTTCAAGTAGTAAGCATTACATTTCAATGAAACATTGATACTCCAGGACTATGCAGAGATTGATTGTTTTAGGATAAACATTTGTGCATATTAATCACCTAATTTGCATAATTAGTAAATTTTCAGCTTTTCCACTGATATCTCGAGTATTACTGTAAAATCTGTATTAGAAGCTGCAGCTTCTATTAAAATGGTACAATACAGCACAGAGAATGCGGCTTCTATTAGAGCATCTACACATATGAGAAATGGTGAATTTTTGGTTCTCAATTGTTCAAAAAGAATTGATGCGACTTCTATTAGGGATGAGGCTTCTAATACAGATTTTACGGTAATCATCACATTTCAATGAAACTTTGTACATGGATGCTGTAGGACAACAGACAGACCTGATTAATCACCTAATTTGCATAATTAGTAAATTTTTTTAAAAATAAAATAATTGTCCTAATCTAAGAAAATGACAATAGTTGACAAGAGCTAAATACTCATGAAGGACCTGATTGAAGTCGAAAATGAAGTTAAATTAATGGCTATTTTCTTTAAATTTACGCGAAACCACTAATGTTGAAAGAAGTACATAGGAAACAAAACTGGGATCTCGAAACATGATTTGCATACTACTGTTAAGCTCCAGCAACATTAATTAAGCTAGATTTATGCAAATTAAACAGTTAAAGTAAGACAATGGCACATGTCTTTGTTTTTAATAATTTAAACTTAGTTTATAAGGTGTTCTACTCACAATGGAATTTTGAAATTTTCACTCAAGAACAAGAATGTTTTCTGCTATAAAAAAAGGTAAAAAAGTGAAATGTATTTTTTCCCGCAACGCCATCTTAAAGCTGTATACCTGTACACTGAACAGTGTTGAGGGCAGCATTTATAAATCAAATCTGGATGGGTGTTAGTTCTCTTGTTTGCAATTTTTTAACATTTGTATAAATAATATTCATCCTATGCCATCAAGCAAAACTCTTACATATAAAGAAATAATTTCACCATATAATACAAAAATGTAAACCTAATCGAAAGGAAATTATTTTCAACAAAAAGCCCCCAAATTTATCTTTTTAGCTCCACTGTTTGCATAGTCAAGCAAAGGTTATCTTAATGGTGATTCTCGGTCGTTGTTGTTTGTCTGTCGTTTATCTGTATTCGCATCAACTTTTTACATTTATTTTTACTTGAACCTCCAGAAATGCTGATTTCACGTACACAGGGGCACTCAATAGAATCTCAATAGTGTGAAATATTTGTAATGAACTTGCCTGAAAACATCTTTCAGCATTTTAGCAACACTCTTAATTTGGTTGCTATGTAAACATTCCTGTTACATGGGACTCACTTAAGTACACATGCATAGTGTGATGACACTACATGTATCTCTTTAGGTGTTTCTACACAACAGTACTGCAGTTGATATTGACAATATAATATTAATATTGTTTGTTTCAGGCGCTCAGTTAGGCACTGTGGTATCATTACCCATCTCAGGTCTTCTATGTGATTCAGATTTTCTAGGTGGCTGGCCTTCAGTGTTTTATGTGTTTGGTAAGTATACAAGTCTCATAACAAGAGCTGCTAGCACAGAGCACAGTATTATAGCCACTCAAGTCCACTAATGCCTAGCTACACTGCTAGTAATATCTTATTGTAATCAGCTATTGGCTGCAGCAAATACACTGGCCAATGAACATAGAGTATGATATTTCTTGAGACTGGTATTTGACGTTTACTGGTATTGAGATATGCAATATGTAAATATGAAATTTTGGGATAATTTCACAACAATATTCAAATTAAATATTAGTGTTGTAATTTTACACATTCACGTTGATTTAATTTAGCAAAATACTCTAACGTTATTTATTAAAAATTTTTGTTTATTCAAAATTAGATCATTATTAAGATCTGTAAATAAATAAGGCTCACCTACAAATGATCACACATGCCTAAACTTCCTCCTGAGATAATACTTTGGTGTTAGTTAGTGGGGTGTAGCCAGTTTAATTAATATTGGGGCCCTTTTTGACATTAACTCCTGGAATATGTCAAGTGAAAAATTTATTCTAGACAGATATACAGGATATTTGGTGTTTTTGTAGCATATGTTTTTAGCTGCAATATTTATGTGTGAATACGATGGTATAAAACAGGACTGAAAAAAAGTTGCATACATGCATGTCATATTTACATGTTACATCATGTATATGTTGCATCACATAATAATATGTTGCATCACATAATAATATGTTGCATCACATAATAATATGTTGCATCACATAATAATATGTTGCATCACATAATATGTTGCATCACATAATAATATGTTGCATCACATAATAATATGTTGCATCACATAATAATATGTTGCATCACATAGTTTTATCTAAGTGTACAGCTTTATATTTAATGCGTCTTGTGAAGGATAACATTGATCCAATTTTTATTTACAATGTACACTGTAGCATGATTGCAACATTTTAGTCTAAACATAGACATCGTCAAAATAGAACAATCAACATCCACACAGGTGTATGACGCACTGAAGTTCACTCACGGGTGAACAGTTATTCCTCTCTCAAAATTGTGGAAATAGTTTTGAAAAAATTATTATAAATAAGATGCAGAGAGAGAGAATGATATAAACAAAAATGGCAGACTATATGCGACTAGTTTAAATTGAAGCGAGTTGATTTATTTATCCTTCCAAATACTAACTACTAATATTTTGATCAACAATTATACAGCATGTGAGAACACATTTAAAATTGTGTTTTAAAATAAATTGGTAATGATTACAAATTACGTTAGGATGCATGGCAGAAACCTATACCCTGGTTTTATACACTCATTCAAACATATTTATATAACAGACCCTCAGTTTTTGTTAAAATATTTAATGTGATTGACTCAAAAGCTCAACATTGTCGATACCCATTCTGTGTGCACATGTCTTCAATCATATCTTGATGTGATGTAGTGTCTGCAACCGCTCACTTATTAGGCCTTGATTTGAACAAAGTGTAAAACTGAGGACTACCGGTATTAGTTGGAGTTCTATCCATGTCTGCATGCGTCCAAGGGCATTTATTGGGCATGCTTTGACCAATGATATTTAAACTTATAAAATGACCATGTAATATGGCATACATATGCGCGTTGATTTTCATCACAGTTTGATCAAGCTTGGCTGACAGGTGGCCATTTTGGTCCTTAAATTTGCCATATTTTGAAACTTAAATGTGTCAGAAATCATTCCTCAAAGATGAAAAGGGTGATTTCATTAAAACTTTGTGTGGGGATCATGCATATTGAGTGGAAGGTGCGCGTCATATTTTTGTCAAGTTTGGCTAATTAGTAGCCTTCTGACAATCCAAGGGTTGTCACTTTAGTCTGACATTCAGTGGGTTGTCATTCCGGTCTGACAGTCAGAGGGTTGTTTTTCCGGTCTGACAGTCAGAGGGTTGTCATTCCAGTCTGACAGTCAGAGGGTTGTCATTCTGGTTTGACAATCCAAGAGTTGTCACTCTGGTCTGACAATCAGAGGGTTGTCACTCGGTTTTTACAATTGAGTTGTGAGTTTAAGTCTTGGCTCTGCCATGATGCATGCTATGGTAGAATGGTTGTAATATTACTAATCAGTTCAATAACAGTACTGTTGAGGTCAGTAACACTGGTGAGGTCAGTAACACTGTTGAGGTCAGTAACACTGTTGAGGTCAGTAACACTGTTGAGGTCAGTAACACTGTTGAGGTCAATAACACTGTTGAGGTCAGTAACACTGTTGAGGTCAGTAACACTGTTGAGGTCAGTAACACTGTTGAGGTCAATAACACTGTTGAGGTCAATAACACTGTTGAGGTCAATAACACTGTTGAGGTCAATAACACTGTTGAGGTCAATAACACTGGTGAGGTCAATAACACTGGTGAGGTCAATAACACTGGTGAGGTCAGTAACACTGGTGAGGTCAGTAACACTGGTGAGGTCAGTAACACTGGTGAGGTCAGTAACACTGGTGAGGTCAGTAACACTGGTGAGGTTAAATATCATTGATGATGTTGATAGCACAGAAGAGCTGAATAATACTGGTGAGGCCATTAGCACAGAACACTGATAAAGTCAGCCTTCATGTTATGATAATATCAATAAAATCAATTGTCTTATATATGATGTTATCTATTTTTTTACATTACCCAGGGTTATTTGGTTGTTTGTGGTTTGTACTATGGATGGCACTTGTGTATGAAACTCCGTCTGATCATCCCAGAATATCCACTGAGGAAAGAAATTACATTAAAAGATCAATAGGAAATGAAAAATTAATGAAAGTAAGTCTGACAATTAAATAATGTTTTGGATTTATTTGTCTTTTTAAAGAGAAAATATGATATGCGCATGCGCAATGAATGACCAGAAACCTGAATTTGTTGTACTGGGTTTTATTTTGGAAATAAAACGATTGACTATCATTGATTGATAATAAAAATATACTGATTGATTACCATTTGTTCATAACAATGACCAAATAATAGAAATATAGATAGATATATGATAGATTACTATTGATTACAATTAGCAATTAATGGAAATAAACTGATTGGCTGATGATAACCTGTGTCCTACTCATTGATTAATTTATAAAAGTTTAGGAAAGCAAACGAATGAATGATTTGTGGTGTATTTTTTTTACAGGACGTACCATGGTGTTCAATTATGACGTCTACACCTGTGCTGGCAATTACTTTATCACATATTGCTAATAACTGGGGTTTTTATACATTATTGACCTGCTTACCAACATATATGAAACAGATATTAGGATTTGATTTGTCTGAGGTAATTCAATTGTTGTATAAACATTCTGGCCCTGAACATGCATATTCATGACTTCCTGGCCCTGAACATGTATATTCATGACTTGCTGGCCCTGAACATGCATATTCATTACTTCCTGGCTCTGCATTTCATATTCATGACTTCCTTTCCCTGGACATACATATGACCTGCATACCAACATATATGAAACAGATATTAGGATTTGATTTGTCTGAGGTAATTCAATTGTTGTATAAACATTCTGGCCCTGAACATGCATATTCATGACTTCCTGGCCCTGAACATGCATATTCATTACTTCCTGGCTCTGCATTTCATATTCATGACTTCCTTTCCCTGGACATACATATGACCTGCATACCAACATATATGAAACAGATATTAGGATTTGATTTGTCTGAGGTAAGTCTGTAATTAATTCAATTGTATGAACATTCTGGCCCTGGCCCTGAACATGCATATTCAGGTCTTCCTGGCCCTGAACATGCATGTACGTGAACCTTCTGGTTCTGAACTTGCATATACACAACCTTCTGGCCCTGAACATGCATATACTTGCATGAACCTCCTGGCTCTGATCATGCATATACATAAATCTTCTGGCGCTGATATGCATATACATGAATCTTCTGGCGCTGATCATGCATATACCGAACCTGCTTGTCCTGAACATGCATATACATGAACCTGCTTGCCAATTCACACACATTCAGTGCATGTACAGTGCATTTGTCTTGATGAAAAAGATGAAATCTACTCCCAAATCATCAATGTTAATAAATTTTTCCCAGAGTACATAATGATCATTGAGACCATGCATGATTAAAAAATTATAACTCACCAACTCAGTGATATCACACTGAATTAGTTCCCAACTCGTAAATAATACATAATTTCGCACAAGAATTGACAAATAATAACGTACAAATCAATGAATCAGTAGATATCAACAGACCTACATCAGCATAATCTACACTATTAAACACACTGCAAAACTTTCCTTTGTGACCATAAGTTCTCTTATTTGTCCAGAATGGATTTTTATCAGCGATACCGTACTTAATGCTTTGGCTGGTGCAAATAACTGGTGGCAGAACAGCTGACTTCTTTATAGAACGAAAACTATTAAACACTACAAGTACAAGAAAGTTAATGAACACGCTGGGTAAGTATAAAAACAGTTGATTGTTACAGTTACTTTTGGAATTCGTGCTGCTAAGAATATGTTTTAATGATTTTATATGCACGATATTGTAGTGTCCTGTACGTCCTATTTCTAGAGACGAGTACAATAAATCACTATTGCATATGACAGTACTGTTATTTACATTAAATTCTTGTTGATCTATTTTTATCTGAGAAAAAAAAAATTATTAACTATTTATTGAATTTGTATGCTAATTAATTAGTACTTTTAAAAATTAATATAGTTTTTATGATTAGTGAGGTTGGGAGAATTAAAAATGTCTAAGAATATACTTCCTAACAAAGGTGGTTTATTTCAGGATTGTCAGTCATGAAGTCTAAAAAATGTAACCTGCTTTCATTGAACAATCTAAGAGTGACATTTGTATTGCATAGTATAAAGATATCAACAATTATTACATATATTATTATGGCACAATATATAGAATTAAAATCAAATAATTTGCGTTTCTATGTCTGGCATAGCAGTTCTTGTAAACTCTTGCCTTAATTGAAATTATATGCGATTCATAGATTAGCATAATAATATTTTTAGCTCCGCTGTCAACTTTGTCGAGCGGAGCTTATCATACGAGTGATTGTTCGTCGTCGTCCGTGTCAATGTTTTACTTTTTCGACTTCTTCTTGAAAACTACAAGCCTGAATGCTTTGATACTTGGTGTATATGTACCTTGGGTAGACCTCTCTTAGGTTTGTTCATTTCATGTTGATATCTTCAATTCTCTAATTTTGGTGAATATTTTTTGTCATTTTTGGTAAAAAGTGATATTTTCGACTTCTTGTTAAAAACTGCAAGTGCAATTGCTTTGATATTACATATATAGGTACTACATGTGGACCTCTCTCAGATTTGTTCATTTTGTAATGATATTTTTAATTCTCTAATTTTGGTGAATATTTTTGTAATTTTTGGTAAAAAGTGATATTTTCGACTTCTTGTTAAAAACCACAAGTCCGATTGCTTTGATATTACATATATAGGTACTACATGTGGACCTCTCTCAGATTTGTTCATTTTGTGATGATGTCTTCAATTCTCTAATTTTGGTGAATATTTTTGTAATTTTTGGTAAAAAGTGATATTTTCGACTTCTTGTTAAAAACCAATAGTTCAATTGCTTTGATATTACATATTTAGATACTACATGTAGACCTTTCTCAGATTTGTTTCATTTCGTGATGATATCTTGGATT